CACAGTAGGTGGCGCGGGAGGAAAGCTCATCCTCCTATGACAGCACTGACAGCTGTCTATGCCCCCACGCTGCTCTCCTGATCTGTGACAGGAGGCTGAGTAGTGCAGGAGGAGAGACGCCAGCCACTCACATCGCTCTCCTCCCCCTGCACTGCTCGGCCTCCTGTGACAGTTTCTCTCCTCCCTGCTGGACGCTGCGTCAGCGAGGAGGAGAGTACTATGAATGCATCATTATTTCGGCCGGAAGATGGCACTTTCAGCATTTTGCCAAAAATGGCATTTGCGGCCGATACACTCTCTTGTTTCTCTGGCAAATATGTACTTAACCAGGTTTCTTTGACTACATAATAACAAATGTCTATAGAATGCTGTGCTGGTATTGTGAAGGCGATCAGTATCCCTGTAATCTTCCAGGGACAAATCTGTAGTACCTAAAACAGGCCCGGAAAACCTTGTTGTCAGCAATGAACTGATCATATCTGCTGTAGGAGCCTATGTCTGTAGCAGTGTGCACATCCCCTATCCCCAGACACGCAGCATGCTGTACTGAGCACATGGAGGAAAGCTGCTAGCAGGCTGTTTGTGTAAGCCTTAAATGGAATGCACGCTGGCAGGGGGCGGATTTCAAGGTTGGCACCAGTCCAGTTAATTTCCCGGCAAAAAAGAGAAGAAGGTGGAGGGAGGGCTGGGGAGTTGTGAGGGGGAAGTGTGACGTGTTTGCTGACACGTGTGTCTGTCCCTACTGAGGAGACGGGGAGGGGGGATGTTTCTTAAAGGCGCCGTTCCGCCGTGGCTTGCAGCAGAAAAAAATGTGAGTTCTGCGGTGAAAGAGCTGTTATTTGGAACTTGAACTTGAACCTGCTTCTAGTAACACAACAAGGTTATGTCCTTTCCAGAACGTTTGTTCAGCATGACTGTTTTCTGTTAAGTGAAACTCCCAGCTTTGTACTTCCCTTATTTACTCCCTTTCGGTGTGTTAAATATACCATTGAAAGCGTTTTGTTATATCTGTTTGATACGTGAAAAATATATTTAAATAATAAAAAAAAAAGGATATATGTAATTGGGTATGCAGCAATTCAGGACACCAGGATTTCTAAAAACATCATGCACTTCTTACAGTAGAACTGGTGTCTCAATTTCACAAAATTATAATAGAACAAAGCTCTGAATATCCTAAAGATAAAACCAGTTTCTAAGAATACACGAAGTACAAGTGCCAAATGTAATATTATTGAGATAAAAAAAATACTGCATATGTTAATGTTGTATCCATCCAACATGTTCCCTGGAGCAAAGTCCAACTTTTCTAAGATGCATGAAATAAAAAATTCCATATAAACAATGATATCTATATATCTATCTATACAGTATACTAGAGGTGCACTGAAATAAAATTTGCTGGGGGCTTCTGGGAAATATTAGGGGTCTAAACAGACTCCTGATATTTCCCTTTTACAATATAAAAAGAGATTGAGGACAGAGTCCTCAATTTCTTTTTATGCAGCCCCAGCACTGAATGAACAGGAATCCTCTATACCAGGGGTCTCAAACTCAATTCCCTCGGGGGCCACTCGATAAATTTGTTTCTCCCATGGGGGCCATTTGCCAAATTGCATACTTTAAAATAAAATTTAACTATATCCGGTTTGGTTTTGGAGCCCAATATACTAGGGATGCACCGATACTAGTATTGGTGCTGATGCCGAGTATGTGGGCGAGTACTCGTACTTGCCCAAATGCTCCGATGCCTAGCCCGATACTTCCTGTATCAAGAAGCTGGGCAGTGCGTCATTACATGGTGCCCGGCTTCCTGATTTAACCGAATACATGCTCCTTCATTAGTGATGAGAAGCTGGCCAATCAGAAAGCCGGGCACCATGTAATGACGCGGAGCCCGGCTTCCTGATTGCCCAGAAATCCGGCTCCATGCTTTCTCGTCACATTGGGGCGAGAAGCATGGGGACGGCTTCCCTGCTAATCGGGAAGCCGGGTGGCGAGAATTTACACGCTACCTGGCTTCCCGACTAATCAAAAAGGCAGGTAGCGAGTCATTTCATGCCGTCTGGATTCCTGAATGGGACGTCCAGTATTCGCTATCAGTGAGTACCGAAACAAAAATTTTGGTACTCGATACCGAAATACCAGTATCAGTGCATCCCTACAATATACACACAAGAGGGCTGCGGAAATTAACGATTAATCCCTCGATTCCCCCACACACACACACACATTAATATGTCAAATAAAATACACAGCCTCCTCTCCTGCTTACATTGTAGCAGGGAGGAGGAGGCTGTGAGCCCCGATCATCAATCCCTGGTGATCTAGTGGTGGATTGGTAAGGTCTGCTGCAGTTCATTCTTTTGGCCAGCGTTCAGCGGAGACGCCGGCCGAAAGGATCCGAGTGCCGCCACAGAAGCAGCTATGCGGTTTGCATCCAAAAGAGATGCAGGAAGTGATGTAGATCACTTACCATTCATTCATAAGTGGTACATAGTAACTCATACTTTGTCAAATTATTTAAAGTCAGCGAACACTGATCGCTGAGTGCTTGTATACTGCTCTCCATCCTGACTCACTGTCACAGCTGAGCCGGTGGTGCAGGTAGGAGAGCTCAGTCTCCTTTGACAGCTGACTCCTCCCCTTCACCACCCCTTGGTCTCCAGCGACTGCTTTCTCTGTCCACACACCGCTCTCCTGATCTGTGCAGGAGGCTGAGCGGGGTGGTTGCAGGAGTGCTCAGCCTCCTGTGGCACGCTTGCAGCGCTCTCCTCCCCCGCACTGCTCTGCCTCCTCTGACAGCTTCTCATCTGGACGCTGCGCTGTGTCAGAGGGGACACAGTGCAGTGCACAGCGGGGAGTAGGGAAACAAGGAATGCACCGCAATTTCGGCCAAAAGATGGCACTTTCGGCATTTTGCAAAAAGAGGCATTTTTGACCTATATGTTTCAGCGGTACATCCCTAATATGTACACATACATACATTAGGAAGGGCGGTAATCGCCCAAAACGGTCTTAATTTTTTTTACAAACTTATGTACCAAAAAGAAATGAATTGCATTTACTAATATATATTAATTACACACTAAACCATGCATATTTTGATGTATGCCTGTGCTTCAGATGCGTCCCCCACATTGGGAAAGGCAATGATTCAGAAGGTTTGTCCATTATACAGGAGAAACCCCATGTTTCGGATTCCTGCCACCACCAATGCCTAGTATCTTTTCTCCTGGGCTGCATTGTCAGCCTTGCAGGCGCAGGGCTCGATGTAAAACGGCAAAATGTGATAACCCACGGCATGGGTCTGGCTAATGTGGTTTTTGCCCAAATGTCAAGCTTGTAGGGCAGTCATCAGTTGGCCACGCTGAAAAATTCACCATGGTGTTTTCATGGCAGGTAGGTAAATTATTTCATACCAAAAAAAGAACCTTTAGATAGACTCCAGTTTACCAATGAAATCTTAAAATTTTAGGAAAGCATAAGAGAACACAGCTGGGGCCTGCTGTTACATACTAAGTGGTTCATAGACCAGCTCTCAGAAAACAAGTATGTCCCAAAGAGAAACATGATACACACAGCAGTGGGCTAGATCATTACATTCTTTTATTTCCTATGAAAACATGTGGCTTTCCTTCTGAAAATGTGACCTTGTGCAAAACTTTCTGTAATAATTATTGGTTTCATCGTTCAGGCAATTATATACAGAACTCTTCGTTTGTCTAAAGTGTACCTCCAGCCAAAACATTTTTATTAAATTAATTGTAAGAACATCTGTAGGTAGGTATAACTGTTTTGGGGGGAATTTTCCCTCTCTTCCTGTCCTACTGACATGTTACCAGGGCAGAAAATGAGTAAAAATCTCCACAGAGACATAGAAAGCAATAAAAAGCTGTCAGGGGTTCTTGCCATCTTTGAATGTAATAAGAAAACACTGTTGTTATTGTGGTCTGTATGCCTCTTATTCCCTTATTTCCTTCCTAATGACAACACATCACCAGGACAGGATATGAGGGAAGAACTTTTTTTTTAAATTTGGGCTGAAGCCTTTTTATTATTTTTGGATACAGTGGGGGAGGCCTAAAGTGACTGACTCTATAATTATTAAACACATGTTCCTTGATAAATGCACCATGTTTGAATTCTGTCCGGCTGTCCAGCAACCAACACTGGAAACTACCGGCTATGGTGTTGCTCTACATCCCGTGAATGTAAAGCCTTACTGGAAACAGAGCATCAGGGCACAAGGGAAGCGTGTCAAAAGACCCAGATGGCATAAGTTGCATGGGATCACTGGTAAATAGTTGGCAGTTCTTGAATGGTGATTGCTGGACATCTGGAGCACAGACAGAAGTCATAATGGTGGTATGGATTTATCGAGGTACTTGGGTTATATGGCTGTTTAATGTTCAATTAGTAATTGTAGGGTAAACTTATACTATGAAATTTCTGTCAGGTTTTTATTTTGGTCTTTGAACCCTTTGGGGATATTCTTCCCTGTGTCCCCTGCATGGGAGTTGGGGGTTGCTGGTGTCATGGGAACAGAAAGTCATTGACTGCACTAAAAATATTGTCCAAGTTGAAACTTTAATCTATTTCCTGATGTCCTGACTTCACAGGAAGACAGCCTTGCACGTTCTGTCTTTCTTCCCTGATCTATCCTATTAAAATAAAAAGTTGGGTTTTAAGGTAGTCCTTCAAAGAATGGCATTTATTAATGTAGTTGGAGCCAGTACTTTAATGCTATGGAACGCTAGTGCTAGTTTATGGCCGAGGGCACTTCAGCCGCCGTTTCCCTGGTACATATACAGATCTGCTCAGCTGTGTATCAATATGTTTTTCTTTTGTATAAGTCACACATATTTGTTAACCAGTCAGGGCTATCACATCAGCTTTTCTGGAATAAGAACATACTGTTCCATGTGAAGCCTCTCCAAGGAAAGCACGTTCTGCATAGTCAGTGGAAACTTAAAAAGGATCTTTTCCTTCTTTCTCAGAGTCTGAAAAGGAAAGAAAAGGAATATGAGCACGAAATGGAGCGTTTGGCAAGAGAGAAAATTGCCACACAGCAGCGATTAGCCGACTTGAAGAATGAACTCAGCCAGTGGATGGATGTTATGGAGATTGACCGAATTGTGCGTCAAACTGTTCAGCCAGAGGACGACCAGGCCTCAACCTCCACAGCCTCAGGTAACCACTATGGGGCCTTTACAATGACATGGTTGGCCTTTTCTCTTGTTTCATTTTAGATTAGAGAATGAGAAGAGAGAAGCTGATTATGTTATAGATAAAGGTGATTTAACGTTCCAGTCATGGGACCCACAGGGTTTATATACCTAGCAAAGCAGTACTTTCTCTGACCACTGTAATGTTCTCACATTAAGTTCAACTACTGCTGCCCCCTGCAGTCTGTTATTGAATATTACAGTTTGCGCTCTCTAAATTCCCCGGAGAAAACATTGGTATCAATTTGTTTTTTACAATTTCACAGAAGCATGTTGGGGTTGAGAAGAGATGGTTGACCAACATGTGCAGATATGAAATTTGCTCCACCATTGCCATGATTTTTACATCCTTTGGCTAGATATGAACGTAATTTTAGATGGATGAAGGCAATTGGATAAATCAAAAAGTTACGTCACTGCTTTTTTAAATTTTTGCTTAACATTTGTAAACCCAAAATTTTAACTGCTCTAAAATGCTCTCTTTTTTCCAGTGTAAAAATGTTTTGGATACAATGTGGAAGTATTACAACAGTGAGGGGAAATCTTCCAATGGGGACACATGTTCTGGTGATAACTAAGAGGGGAAATTCCCTCACTATGTAGTGCTTTCCTTCCACTTCCATTGGCTCTACAGGACAGGGAAATCCCCCATTTGGGACACACGCAACACAAAATAAACTTAACCCTTTCCCACTTTATTCAAAAAAGCAAGTTTTTTCTCTCAATATACCATTGCAAGCTTTGCATTGGTATTGTTTGAGTCGTGCTACCAAACACCTGTTGATCCTGCCAATTTCCTCCCCTTTTGTGGGCTTTATGTATGAAAGTGACAGTGCTAACCTCAACTTCCTAATGCCGCAGTAGCATTGTCAAGTTTTGTCTTTGACACTTCAGGATGGTGTGCAGACACACAACATGCCTGCCAGAACTGTAGTCATCCTTTGGCACCAATAGGCAGCCATATCTCTAGGCCTTCCCTGATGTGTTTTACTCACAATGGTGCATAGTACTGAGGCAAACAGCCAATCCTTATGGTACCCTGTCCCCCGCAGAAAATGATGGAAATTTGCTCAGTGCGCTAATGGACAACAATAAAAAAATTTGTAAAAGTTGGTGCTGACTAAAGTTTGTACTGAGAAGTAAACAAAATTGTTGCACGTACATATAAAAACAATATGGGTAACAGTATCAAGTAAAGCACAATATTAGAAACCCAAAGTCAACTGTGTTTCAAATTACAAATGCAACCTAATTATAAGTATATAAGGACAATTGAGTCCTGGGATGTCTTTAGGGCATTGGGTATAATACTCAAAACAGGATAATCCATCCGCAAGTGTTTTTTAATGTGTTAGGCAAGGCGGGAAGAAAATAATAATATGGTTGGAGAGAGAGAATGTAGGGGATGAATATGTCAACTCAGATAAAGAGGGTAAGGGGTACAGAAAGGAATGGAATAAAGAAGGGGGAGGTTGGGAACAGGGAATCGAGTACCAGTAAAGAAGGTGGGGAGGATACAAAGGAGAAACTTTGGAGAGGTTAGGTATGAGGGGGGGAGGGGGGGGGTCAAACCTTACTGCCAACAATTGGTCAATCAGTTGCAGATGGATTTTAACCACTTCCTCCTTTGCACCTGTATGTAACTTTGTAATTACTTAAGATAACAAATAATGTTGTTTTTTCTGGGTGTAAAAAAAAGGCTTTCATCTGACAATATTGCCTTACAAAAATGGTTTTATTTTTATTAAACAAAAAGATGTAAAAACAACTAAAACACTTTTTTTTTCTAGATTGATCAGTACTCGTTTAAAAAATGTTACTGTAAATAAAAAGTATACATTTTTTATTGAATTTGTACAGTTTATGACACGTTTTTATTGTGAGGGAAATTAACAAATAAAAATGAAAATGGTTTAATAATATACAGAAAAAGAAAATACAGGTAAGGGGAAGGTGGCAAAGGAGATAATTAGGGATGCTTAGGGTTAATAAGGGGTTAAATGGAAATATATATATATTTTTTAATTGTTTCCTGTTTGGTTGCTTTAAATGGACCACTCTTTGATCTGCATATGAATTAAACAAACACACACAGTTACAATGTTACATTGAAGTTCCCTATTGAGCTTCTGAAGAGTGCTTACAAACTTTGTTCATAAACTATGTGTGTATATAGCAGCGGCTGCATCTGCTACCGCGTTACAAGTGTCAGCCTGGGAGCAAACACAAATTGCGGCTCACAAATTGCTGCCTTGTGAGTTACGGGAGGTAGGTACATATTTTTATCGTTTGGGATAGAATGGGAAAGAATTGGAACATTTGTTCGATTTTTACTGCTATCCAAGGCTGCTTTAGAGAGATATCTGTACATACACTTTTAAGTGCAAAGTTTTTCGGCAGCCAGTATTTGTATGCATATACAGTTTTTTTTCTGGTCTTTTATTCACAATATTCCTGGTTGCTTACAGTTGAAACTTTTTATTATGTCTTTCAGAGGGGGAAGATAACATGGATGAAGACATGGATGATGACAGACCTCTAAATTCATTACCAAAATGTCAGAATCCTGAACTTCTGAAGATGGTACCGTCCAACACAGCTTCCCACAATCACCATTCCACTGTACTGCCTCAACATGTCTCCATTCAGCAGAAACAAGCTCCCTCTCCCCACGTACAGACCCTCTCCAACCAAGCACTGGTCCCGCCTCAGGCCATAGTGCCAGCACAGACTCATATTGTGACTGCTTCCACAGTGCAGTCAACTGTGATAGCCCACACAGCCACCACTCATGCGTCCGTTATTCAGACTTTAAACCATGTCATCCCAGGGCCTCAGACCAAGCACATTGCCCATATTGCACCTTCCACGTCAAGCCCTGTACAGCTAACCACTGCTGCTCAGCCAATTGGCCACATCACTGTGCACCCAGCCACCATTAATCACATGACCCATCTTGGGCAGCAGCTACCCATTTACCCACAGTCGGTTGCAGTCAGTCAGCCCATGATGAGCCACATTGCTCACACCATCTCTCACCCACAAGTCAATGGAACCACAAACCTTGGCCAGCCTGCTGTTATGGCAAAGCCAACCGTAGGAACCCAGGTGGTCCACCATCCCCAGTTAGTTGGTCAGACAGTCCTGAATCCGGTGACCATGGTAACAATGCCATCGTTTCCTGTCAGCACTTTAAAGCTAGCTTAATGCTCAACTGAAAAAAAAATGATTAAAGGAAACCGTCTTGTTTTCTGTCACAGCCACAACTTCCATCCATTGATGGGGCAGCCATTGTCTGACTTCTAGAAGCATTCCTTCTTCTGGGACATAGGATCCATCTGCAGTATCACACCAGGCAGTGGCAGCTTTCAGTAATGGAAGGAAGCTTTCGCTGTGCTAGGTAACATCCACCCTGAAAGGTTCCCTTTAGTTACATAAATTCATGTATCCATTGGACAGCGGAAACTCCATACATTCCTACCAAGTCATGTTCCAAGGAAGAGCTGCGTAGTCACAAGGTGGTATTCTTCATTGGTTTTGGAAAAGGTGTCAGGCTTCATTGTATAGGCCTCTATCTTACCACAAAGGGCCCAGTGCCCTGGATTTCAACCATGCTCATTGTCTCCGTGGCCGCTGCTCATAATGACTTTTTCATTTTGTCCTTTTTACCAGTAATTGGTGAATATTAAATGAGACTTTTAATTTCTATCCGCTACTTCACTTACATTTTTTTTAATTTTAATTTTTTTACTCAATTTTGATTGTGTCGTCGTCGTCTTTTTGTGTATCTTTGTAACATACAAATCGATGACCTCTTTCTAATATAAGAAATGAAATGGTTTTAAAGTAAGCATAATGTCGGTCTATACCTTCACTGAGGTGATAGCTGCAGGAAGTATACACTAATTAAAGGAAAAAAATGTTTTTAAAAAAAGAACAATGATGGAAAAAAAGTCCAAGGTAATTTCTTTCCTGTCTCCGAGGTAAACATGGGGCAGAAAATGAATTCTTGTCTTTCTATTTATAAACATTAGTTATTTCAATTTCTGTTCCATCAGTGCCTTCATTTTAACATTTTAATATGAGCTTTTTAAAACCTATTGTCCCTAACTAAAACAATGTTTCCCACCTTTTTTAGGACCATGAAAGTCACACTTAATGAATTATTACCTTAGGTTTATATTGAAGCTTTTCTGGTTTACATTAACCATATTGGATTTGAAGTAACCACCTGTTTCAGTTTGTGCTTTGTTTGTTTTAGGGAAGCTTATAAAAGCTAGCTCAAACGGAAAGTGTGGTACTCCTCATATCAACAAATACCTTTTGCTTTTTTTAAGAATATCACTGTAAAATGAATTTTTGTTTTGGTTAATTGCATTGGAAATGACGTGCTAATATGATAGCAAAAGCATTAAAGTGCAATTCCCCATACTGACCAATCAGCTTTTAGTGTGGCCATGCCAAGGAACGCTGAATTCGGACTGCTTCCTTTTGGTTTATTGTACTCGTGTTACTAAAGGCCGATACTTTTCCTTTGAGCCAGTTCTTATAACTTTAAATGTCTGTGTTCTGTACTTCTTTCCCACCTGATTTTTGCAATAGAAAAATATAATTTAAAAAAAGCAATGTATTAGGATGTTTACCGCTAGAAACTAGCGTGTGAAGCAGTATCAAAAATGCTTTAGGAAAATTGCATACAAATTTACATTCGGATTACTGAATGTTTTCAATTTACTGGGTTTTTTTCTAATGTTACCAAATCATGTTACAAATTTCCTAGCAGAATGTAAAAAATAATGTTATATTTTGTCATAATAACTAAATACACAGTACAGTACAGTGGCAGTTGTTTTGCTAGCAAATTTGGTACTCCCAATAGCAGAGTCAATAATATTAGCTTGAAATCTAACATTTAGACATTCATTCGCCCCTTCACGTTGATTACTGCTGTCCCAGTGGTCTCTGTCTACTGTTTACTATTGTTTTAATTTACTGTAGAGCCAATGACCCTATAATCCGGAGAAACGTGAGTGGCCCTGGCTGCTTGGATATTGGTGATTACAGGGAATGGTGTCAGTCCTATAGATGTGAGCCTTAACACACAGAACAATATGAATGTCTTCCATCAGCAACGTGTCTCTTGTGGTTCACAGCTTTATTTAGGGCCTATTCACACTGTTGCACTGCACTGGTGCACACACATCAACGCAGGCTGGGTTTAGGCAGCCCATTCATTTGATGGACTTTCTAATGAACCAAAATAGGTGCATGAAGCATTTTCAGCAAATTAGTGCGTTGCTTTGTTTTTGCGCTGCAACAGACGTGCATTGAGAAGGTCCATTGGCGTTCCATCCCCAATAGTGTGAAAGGGCCCTTACATTACACACAACGAGAGAGATTGCTACACCATTCAGCCTAGAATAAGTTGTATTGTGTGACAGCCTCTCCTGAGGTTTGCCAGATTGTCTTGTAGCATACATTCAACATAACATAAAATCTGATTGGTTGGAATCAGCCCAATTGAGTAGGATCACTCTGTAGGATCAAAAAGATCTGCACTTATGTGTATATTACTAATTGAGTGGAAAACCCCTTAAAGACACTTTGTACCTCATTCACATATGTGCTTTCTGAAAATGGCTCGCTTTCCTTTATAGCTGAGGACTGCACATACGTGTGATATGCATTAGCCGTATGCCTCCATATGCCTTGTTATCCAGTGGCCGTACACAGTTTTAGAATCAGTGCTATAGCCTGTATGCATAAGTGCATGACTTCAGTCCTTGAGAACTGCATACATATGTTTGCTTTGAAACCCTTGCAGGGCAAGAAGACAGGTTTCCTTCCTTTTCCCTGATCCCCAGCAGCATATACTTGCGATGATTTTGCTCCCTCGTCACTCCGTTCTGCCATGTGGAATGAGGAAACCAGCACTGTGTAAGCTTTAAACAGATTTCCAGTCAGAGCTTACACATTGACTGTCTAGGCCAATCACCAAGCCACCCGTATTGTCACACAAGGTTAGTCACATGCTCCTTCATACACCCTTCACTCCCAGTATGTGAATGGAGCAGCAGCAAAATAAAGGAATGATGAATATTTGCTGCTGGGGGACTAGGAAATAAAGGGAACCCATTTTTTTGCATGTCATACACAAAGCAGAGATCCACTTTAAAGGAAACCTGTCAGAATTGAAATATAAGAGCTGCCATTGCTGACTTTTTAAGGGTGCAAGCCCTGGGCCTTTTTATCCTCATTTTGCTTCAGTGCTTAGTGAATCACTTACCCAAATGAAGTATGTAGGTTAAGGGCTCGTTCACACCAGCAGCTGCGACCTACCACGGCCACTGGTGTGCACTCGGAAGTAAACAGTGTAGATGCACAGATTACAATGCATTACTGTTTATTTTTTTACAACTTGATGGAAATGTAACAAAGGGAAATTTTATTCACAGCAGAGTGTTGCGATGCAGAAGTGTGTTTCAACACGCTGCAGGGAAAAAAGTAGTGCATGTCCTATCTGCTGCGCAGTGGTGTGAACTGAACCCTTAGGACACAAAGCAGTTTGCCTTGTTTATGCATTAGGACTGCTTTGGGCAAGGCTGCTTAGCACAGTCTATACATATGGAGTGAACCTAAAGGATTATTCACATCGTGTCCCTTGAGCTGTATTTTTAATTTTTGTTGCACACCAAAACAATAATTTTCTTTGTGCCCTGTTCACACCATACATGTGTGTGGTGACGTGCCGAAAAACGCTGCTCAACAGACATGGTGTGAACAAGCTATATAAGCCCAAATTATTATTATTATACAGGATTTATGTAGCGCCAACAATTCAAGACAAGATGGTAGGGATGAACTTTAGGTTTAAATCGGCTTAATATAATAAAGTGCATCAAAACAAAAGGTGTTCACTTCCAAAGCTCTCCGATCAACATGGAGTCTGAGACTTGCTGATTGCAGAGCTGCAACATGCTGGCAGGGGACAGGCTTTTCTGCTTGGGCTGTTGCTGCTCTCTAAAGTAAGAGAGCAATAAGATTTTGCATACCTTTTTTTGTTTTGATGCACCTGAACGTATTTCGTTTATTTAAGCTGGTGGAAGGATTCCGTTGGCCTTTAAGAGCCCATTCACACCACTGAGCTGCCATATTGCATGTTATGTGCCTTGGTGCGCTGCTGTGCCATGTATAATGTACAGTAATGCACTGCCATGCATTGCAGTGTGTTGTGATAAAAAAAAATGCTTTAGGTCTGTTATGGTGCATTAAGCAGCCCTTTTGTATAAATGAGCTTGTTTAACATACCGCATGCACAGTATGTGCGTTAAATGCACCACAACTGACCTGACTGCTGTGAATGGGCCTTAAGGGTTCCAGCTTTACTGGCTGCATACTTGAGCTTGGTGACTCATTAAGGCAGAGAAACAAGGATAAAGATGACAGTTTTGGAGTTTGCATCAATAAAAACAAGTCCTCAGTAGCAGGTTTTATATTCTGGCAGATTCCCTTTAATGATATAATACATCAAGGATCCTGGCTCTCAGCGACTGGAGTCGTACTTCCCCGGCATAATGTTTCTGCTATAAGTTTTTCTCAACAAAAGGCCACCTTACAGATATTTTGACGTTTTCTGTTCCTTGTTCCCATTATACCTTTTTGGTGAATATTTTATGATGAGTGACGTACTAATGCAGCATAATCACCCACGGTAAACATGCATACTACTGCATCATGGGTATCTGATAACACAGCGACACTGAAAATCCTATTTAGCATCACCTATCGTAAATCGGCATATGACTTATTAAATTTTAACTACAAGCACTGAAAATTCCTCTTTTTTTTTTTAACCTGTAAATGGAGTTTGTGCCATTACTTTCTTTGTAACTTATTTATTTGTATTATTTTTCATTGACAACTAAACCAGTTTTAAACTCATGTTAATAGTTTTATCTCCAAATTTTATATAAACCTCAATCGGGTTCAGATGTGTCCTTTTGAGCCCGCCTTGAGTTGTTAGAATATTAAACTATGTACATAAAGGCATTATTCTCTGGAAATGTTGTAAAAAAAATTTGATTAATTTCAGGCTTTGTGTCAAGGCATGATAGTGTATTACAAATTAATGCACTGCAAATTATTTTATCTGAAATGTGTTAAATGTGAGAAATGTGTTTCTTTTGGTTTTATTATACCAAATACAGATAATTTGACTTCATACATAATATCTATTTTTATAAAGGCTTTTCTTTCTTGATGCACTGAGATTTCTCAAACCCGAGCAATCTGATGTTTTCAGAGACCATTCTGAGAAAAGTTTACTCCACTATTCCCGAAGACGCAAGCTGTTTGTATGTAAAATAGTCACATTGCAAAGCCTCATTATATAATAAATGAACTACAACCCTATAGATAAAGTGTATCTATACCCCAAACTTTTTTTGTTTACATTTTGGATAGTGAGAAAAGGTTAAAACTAAGGATGCACCGATACCAAGTACAGATACTTTTCGAGCTCCAAGACTAGACTGGAGAAGATTTCAAAATGTAGGAGTCAGCTGTCATTTGTAAGGAGCACACGGAGCTCCTGGGATTTGTACATCTCTGTTTTAATGTATGATTTTGTTTTCATAAATAAATAGATGCACCGATACCAGTTTTGCGAGTACAAGTACTGGTACTTGCCCAAGTACTTACAAGTACGAGTACCGATCCTTTTCGAGCTCCAAGACTAGACTGGAGAAGATTTCAAAATGTAGGAGTCAGCTGTCATTTGTAAGGAGCACACGGAGCTCCTGGGATTTGTCCATCTCTGTTTTAATGTACGTTTTTGTTTTTATAAATATAAATAAAGTGATGCACCGGTACCAGTTTTGCGAGTACTGGTACTTGCCCAAGTATTTACAAGTACGA